TTGTTTAGAGGCCACCATAGGCATTGTCTATATGGATCACCTGTTCCCAGCACCTCAGGTCTGCACCCACTTTCAGTTGTGGGCCCAGGCCCAACCTTCATACTCCACTCTCCCCCTCCCCTAAAACAGTTTGTTGCTTCTAGAATTCGTTCTCTCTACCTTCCTTCTCCTGGGTGGGTGAGCCCCATAAAGAGCAAAGGTTCCAATATTCCAAAGAGAGAGAAGAGGTGGAGACTTCCTGCAGTTGCCCAAGAGTTAGGCTAGAGCAGACACTGGCTCCTTCTGTCCACTTTGGGTAAACTCACTGCAGAGACCCGCCTGACTTGGGTGTGACATCAGGTGCCTATCCATGAAATGTTCTTCCAAGCCCCAGTATTTCTGCAGCTGTCGGTGCTGGAATCTCCCTCACTGTGTAAACAAACCAAGAAGCCAATCTAACTTCTCACTAAAGTTGTCCTGAAAGGGAACTGTTCCGAATGGGTGGTGGGGTTCTCCCGAAATATTTGAGCTGTATTCATGAATAGTGTTGTTTCTTTCCCAGTCCCTCTCCAGGGAAATCTTCCTCATGAAACATAGAAGTCCAGTTTCCCCAGTTTCTTTTAAGAGCTGCCTAAGTTGACATTTGGAGTGGGAATTAGGGGAACCAAAGAACTAAACAATTGTTTCACAAAAAATAATATATATATATCACAAGCTAATTATTCCTCAACAATCTGAGATAGTGATAAAAGCCATTTATTTAGAATGTGACAAATATAGAGCAAAGGCTCCAGTTAAAAATAAACAAACAAATCGGAAAATTTGGGTCCGCAAAGGGGCTGACTGGGACTGCCGCACTTTTCATTCACAATACCCGGACCCGCTCTTTCCGCGGATCGAATTCCCTGGGTACGGTTCCTGCTCAGTTCCTCGGGCTGCGTTAGATCCGGCTCCGCGGTCTGTGCGTGTCTCGGGTAGGGAAAGGGGTGAAGTTCGGGTCATATTTGGGGTGTTTTCTCACACCTCTGATTACACCCCAGGGCCCTGTCGAAGGAGAAGAAGGCTCGGGGAGGAATTTCCAAGAAAAAATTACTCAACCTCTGACCCAGAGGAGAGACGCGAAGCTCAGGAGAGTGATCGAACGAAATCGGGGGGAATGAACCCTCAAAGCATCAGGAGGAAATGGGATAGAACGCACAAAGGTGCAGAAGCGGAATGTAAACAGAAGAAAACAAAAAAACAACAAACAACCAAGAAAACTCCAACCCGGGGGGTTCGTTCAGGCTGCGTGAACAAAGGAGGGGGGTACCATCCTCACCCCAATTTGGGGTAGATAGATGGTCGCGCAGATTTTAACTAAGGTTCATTAGGGATCTTTGTCGGGAGGGGTAGGACGAAGCTAGCTGGCAGGAGCCCGCGGGGCGCTGAACAGGGCACCCCCCCACCCCCCGCTGGGCCAGGCTTCCGGGGCGCAGCTGCGCCCGCCGGGTCCCCCGCGCCGCTGCGGGCGGGTTTCGTGTGGTGAGCTGGCAAAGGGGGGGGGGGGTTATGCGGGGTTGCCGGAGGCCATCGAGATGGGAGCCGCCCCCTGGCCGCGGCTCCTTCCCTCACTCAGCCGCGCTCCTTCGGCGCTGGTGGCCGCCTCTGCGCCCACCCTCCTCCCCCCGCCCCCCTCCCCCGCCGCAACCACACACAAACTCAATCAACCCAACTCGGTGGGCAAAAAACCCCCAGCTCCCCGAAGGTTAAAGAGCTGCTTTGCTGCACACAAGGTTCACGCCGCCCCCGCTCCTTCTTGCAGTCCTCGACCCGGCAACCCCTGCCCCCCGTGTCCCCCCTCCCCCCCCCCCCCCCCCCAAGGCTGGCAGGCCAACTTGGTCCGGGCGCAGGAGGGAACTTCGGCGTCCCGGCTCAATGCTGGAGCGGTGGTCCTGGGGAGGGCGCCCCCAGCGCAGCCCACCAGGAGTCTCGTAGCTTCTTCCCATCAAGGCTCCCTAAATTGCCTCACTAGTCTCCGGGAGGTAGGGTGGGGACGACCGTCGTGAACTGCCTTCTGGCTGGGGGTAGGAACCAGGAGAAAGGACCAATTCATTTGCGTCCTGAGGGCCATAATCTGGGTGGCAGCTGTTTCAGCCGAGGAGGGCCAGCGCTTTCGATCCCCGGTGGTGCCCTTTAACCCCAGGCAATCCAAGCCCGAGGACAGAAGCACCAGGCCTCGCCCCGGCCCACTTGCTGCCCCGAGGTCCCTTGGGCTGAGGTCAGTACCTCCTTGGACAGCATCGAGGTGCAGCAGCTTAGAAGCCCCTTGGACGGATCCTTTGGTCACACGCCTTGAGGGTTACACGGACTGTTCCACACTCTCCACCAAGGATTGGGAGGACCTGACCCCGCTGGGTGCAGACGGCTTCTGCCGACCGGGTGGGTTGATCCCCGAGGCGGAGAGAGATTTCTAGAGAGCCAGGCAAGGAGAAAAGAGTCTCGGTCTTTTTTTTTTTTTCAGGGACGGAAATTATTCACAAAACCTGCAGATAGAGAATTACCGAGTTGAAGCAAGGTAATAAATTTCATGCTAACCAATTTCTCTCCCACCCTCCTCCCCTTTTCCTTGGAGAACTCCTGTTTTACTTGGCTTTTACAATGCCTCGTTCCATCTCCTAGCGCTCCGGCGCCCTTCATCGCTCCCCCAAGTCCCTCGTGCCCTAAAGGGAAGACCCAGCCAGAGTTCTGAGGTCAGGATTCCACACGGCACACAACCTGAAGGTGGGGTTGCACGTTTTTTCCTCACCCTCACTCTCAAACCAGACACCGCAATCCCTGGACCCGGGTTTTGTGCAGAGAGAGGCTCATGCAAAAAAACAAAAACAAAAACAAAACAACCGACCCGATCCCAATCAGTGTTTAATAACAATCTCTGCAGTGGAGACCTGGCCTTCCCCGAGCCGGCGCCAGCCGCTTGTGAAGTCTGGGGTCCAGGTTTTCCCTAGGGTACAGCGGAGGCGCGGGACAGGTCCCAGTTTTTTTCTCCAGAGACCTTGCGCGTTCTCAAAGTGCGAGCTGCCGGTCCGCCCAGGCAAACGAGTTGCAAGGCGCGGTGTCCTCTAGCGGCAAACTCTCGCAGTTCGTGAGTGCTCACCTACACCTAAGGGATCTGCCCCGGACTCTTACTCCTGCTTCACTCTGAGTCCTAAAGCCGGGAGGGAGGTCTCCGGAACGTAATCCAGGCTTTCGCCGCGGCCCTCCCGTCCTGAGGCGGGGAGGCTCGGGCGCAGTCGCTCGAACTGCCGAACAGCTGATTGTCTCCTCCACGGCAGATGGTCTTTGAGCACAGATTTGCATTCATTGTCTTCAAATCTGTTTTCGCTCTGGTGTTCTAGATTTCAGCAGCAGATCTATACACAGATCAGAATACAAAGGGAGAAGCAAGAAAATAACACCCAGCCAGGAGGATTTTTTTTTTTTTAATAGGCACTGCGAGCTGCCCGGCGGAGTTAAAAAAAAAACCGTCTAAGGTTTCAGCTGTTTGGCTGAGCTGCGACACCCTCCCGGCCACCAGCCCCCGGTCCCGCACGCCTGCAACCGCGCTTTGCATAAAGTTTTCCGCTACACTCGGTCACCACCGGTAGCTTCTCTGCCCACTCGTGGGGGGGCCATCGGGAAACTGGGGTTGGGAGAGGAGAGGAAAGGGTGCTTCCAGGACAGCTCCGGGGCTGCTCTCGCACTCAGCCGGCCACAATCTGTCAGCAACCTCTCATCTGCACAACCTCTCGCCTGCAGGGTACAGCTCCTGCTCCAGTCCACCCGGGGGTATTTGCCTTAGCTCCTTGACTGATTTCCCCGACTTTCTATTTATTTGAACGGGCACTGGAGCCTGGTGCGTCCCAACCCCGCCCCCCCCCCCCCCGCCCCGCTTTCATTCATCTCTCCTTCCCTCGAAACAAACTTGCAAACCGCACGCGAAATTTGAGTGTCACCATGTGACTTCCAGGAGACTTTGGGAGAGACATTCAAGGGAACCGGGCTGCTCTGGGGGGGAACATTTACACAAAACAGAAGTACGTGTGATCACACTCTCCCTCTTCTTCACAAATACGCACACACAGCCAAGCCCGGGAATGAAATGAATACGCCTCCTGGCAGGCTACAAAAAAAAAAAAAATTCTGCATCTAGAGGTGGTATCCACGCAGGCTCTCTGCTCCCAGGGCGGGCGCGTCCCGGCCTGGTAGGGTCGGGCCAGCCAGCTTCAAATCAGGATTCGGGGATCTCCCCTTGCTGGGATCCGCGCCGGCTTTGGGGGCAGAAACGCGGCGCCCGCAGGTTTCCATCCATCCCCTTTCACCTTCCCAACACGCGGTAACGCCGAGCGTGGCGCGCGCCGCCCGAGCGCACGTCGGCCCGGCCTGTCCAGCGCCCGCCAATCCCGAGCGTCCATGCAAATGAGGCTCCTTATCGGGCCGCGGCTCCGCCTCCCGCGGCCGGGACTGGAGTAACCCATTCATGGGGCCCGCGCGCCGCAGCAGCCCGGCTCCGCGGCTCCCGCAGCCACCGCCTCCTCTCGGCTCCGGGTCTTCCCCTTCCTTTTACAACTGATCCTGTTGGGGATTTTTTTCCCCTCCCTCTCTAAATTGGAGCAGTGGGGAGGAGTTGGGAGGGGGGCAAGCAGGAGAAGGGGAGAGATTAGGCCAGCCATCAATCTCCTCCAGTTTCTCCCCGAACAGGTGATGCTTCAAAATTGTGATCGCTTTCCGGAGGCAGCACTGTCGCGGGAAGGATGCGAGCGACCTAGGGCGGAGGGCCTGAGGCGGCAGATCTGAATTTGCGGAGGATACAACCCAAACTTTGCAGCAGTCCGCACATCGGCGTGAAGTCTGGAGTGGTCATCTCTCTCTTTCTCCTCGCTCGCTCGCTCAATTCGCTCGCTCGCTCTTTTCGAAGAGAGACCCAAACTTCGTCACTTGACATCCCCCTCTCTTGGATTGCTTTGGAGGAGCCGGTTTGGTGACAGCTCTGGAAACAGTACGAAGGGACTGTGCTGTAACTCTTACTTTCAACGCGACAGTAGATCAGACTTTTTTTTTTTAAATGTTTGGGATTCAAGATACTTTAGGAAGAGGACCGGCTCTGAAAGAGAAATCGCTGGGCGCCGAGATGGATTCGGTCAGGTCGTGGGTCCGGAATGTCGGCGTGGTGGACGCCAACGTCGCGGCGCAGAGGTAAGCCGGTAACACGAATCTTTTGCTCTTCAAGAATGAGTCTCTCTGTGTGTGTGTGTCTCCCTCTCCTTTGCTCGCTCCCTGGCGCTCCTGTCTGACCCCCATCTGTCGCTCTTGCCCTGCACGCGGGGCCTCGCCCTGGGGCAGGCACGTCGCTGCCGCCAGCGGAACGCTCAAACTTGCAGCCAGCACTCAAGTTTCTGAACTCCCGGGGCCGCCTGGGTGTCCCCTCCCCACCCACCCTCCCGCCACTACCACCAGCAGCGAACCGACTCTGGGGTAGGGGGGGAAAAACAACCAACAAAGTAGCATCCGTGCAGCGCCTAGTCCAGCAGCCTCTTTGGTCCAAGGCGCATCGGGTTCAGAGCTGAGCGTGCAGGGGGCAGCGGACAGCGGCGGCGGCGGGTGGAGAACCCGCTCCCCGCTTCACTCGGTCCCGGGCTGCCGGCGCCCCGAGGTTGGCGGCCCGCGTGGCCCGGCCACTCTGGGAGGCTAAGAGCCCGGCGGCCGGCGGGCCACGGCGGCCCAGAGCTCCCGGAGAGGCCGAGCAGCCGCCTGCGAAGGCAAAAGCGGCCGCGAGCTCCGGGAGCGGGTGACAGGCCGGCCGGAAGGTTTGGGCGCAGGGATAAAGCCTTGGACCAGACGCACCAAGGCGAGGGTGAGGGGAGAGGAGCAATGGAAAAGAACCGAGGAAGGGAAAACCGTAAAAGCTCTGCAGAAGGAGGAAGGCAAGGAAAAGAGACGCGCCAAAGAGGCAAGGCGAGGGGGAAAAAAAAAGATCATCATCGCCAGCCTCTGGCGGCTCTGGCCCCTGAAGTTGACTTTGTTTTTAAGAGTCCGAGTGCTGGCAGTAAACGCTTAAAAGCCTTCTGGTGGTGTGGGTGTCGGCGCAGCCAGGCTCCGGACGGCCTCTCTCATCACCCCTGAGCTGGGATTTGCAATCTCTGCACCGGTCTCTGGGACAGGCAGTCCCGTTCCTCCCTAGAGTTCGGAAACGGCTTCTCACGCCTCCCACCTCCCCGGGAGTCCTGCGGGCCACCCCCCTTTACGACCCATCAAGAGGAGAAACGACCCCGGTCCCCAGAGAAGCCCCGTCCGCCGGCGTCCCGGCTGGAGCGAACCGGCAGCCACCCGTGGACCAAAGGACGCCCAAGTCTCGTGGCTCCGGGGACCCGGCGGCTGAGCGGCCTCCTCGCCGATGCGGGAGCCCGGGGCGCACCCGCGTCCCTCGGGCGGACCGCACGGCCCTGCGGGCGGCGTCCCGCAGCTGCCGGAGGGGAGGGGGGGCTCTCGGGGCTGCAAGCCCAGGGAAATTAGGCAGCCTCGCAGCGCCTTTCCTTAGTGGAGCTCTTGAAAGACTCCTCCCTCATCTCCCCTTCCAATAATGGTTCAGTTGGAACCCACACGCGGAGTTGGGCAGCGTCGCCAAAATTTAACACTTCAAATGAGTGAAAAAGGATCGCGCCCCGGGGGCGACGAGGCCCGGAGACCCCCGCGCCGCGGGGCAGCCCAGCCATCTGCGCGCTTGCAGGTCCCACACCTCTGGCTAAATGGGAGCGGCGGGTGGGTTTGTTCCCGGCCGCGACGGGTCGGCAGGAAAGTGTGCGCACGAGCTCCCAGAGCCCCCAGGGCTCTTCTCCGGTCCCCCCCACCCCCCCAAACCTGGTTTCGCAGTCAGCAGGTCTGACTAGCGCCGCTGGGTGCTGAGCTCCAGGCGGGGAACCTCACGGCCTCAGGGCCTCAGGCAAAGATTTTCTCTCCTCCCCCCACCCCAAAAAACCATTTTGGCTACTCCCAGCTCTGCTGTTCTGGGAGCGGGGTCCCCGTGTCACCTCGTCGGGGATGGCCCGTGATCCCCAGTGTTGGTGGCGGAGAAACCTCCCCACCACGGTCCCAGGTGCGACTTTTCGGAAAAAACGAGGAAAGCAGCGCGAGGCCTCTTCCTGCTGGACAGCATTGGGGTTCTGGGGTTCCCTTTTGCCCCACCCTCCAAACCAGCCCTGGTTCTTACCTACCCACCTTTCCCAATCAGCGTGGGGAGCACTGTGGGGTCCAGGAATGGCAACCCGATTTAGATGAAGCAAAAGAGTTATGTCCTCCAAAGCAGAGAGGCACTGCTCCTCTTACACCGGGTCAGCTGTGACCCAGCAGTAGGGAAGCCCGCTGAGCTTCGTAAGGGGTGACTGATGGGACCACCCAGGCCCTTGCCTGGTGAATCACTCTGGGCCATGGCTTGGAAGGTGAGCTGTAACTGCACGGAGTAGCCAAGGTTGACCCAGGTGGTGGTAGCAGTTTCAGGGGGCAGCTCCAACCCACTGTACCTCCTCTGAGGAGACCCTACTTCTTAATGAGAATTGATAGAAGTCTAAAGGCAGGGGTCCAGCTTCTAGACCTGGCTCCTTGACCTTCTGCGGGCTTGGGTGGGTGTGTTGGTGACATGTGTCTTTCTCTCCTTCCCTGTGTCGGTCCACTGTTCCCGCATCCCTTCCTGTGCAGTGGCGTCGCCCTGTCTCGGGCCCACTTTGAGAAGCAGCCTCCTTCCAACTTGAGGAAATCCAATTTCTTTCACTTCGTGTTGGCCCTCTACGACAGGCAGGGCCAGCCCGTGGAGATCGAGCGTACCGCCTTTGTGGACTTCGTGGAGAACGACAAAGTAAGCTCCTGGCACCCCCTTGTCCCTTGGCAGCCCGGTCCCTCCTTGCAAAGCACTAAAGATTCCATCTGTCATTCAAAACACTTTCCCTGCTCACATCATCAGATGATAAATCGAGGCTTCTCACCCCAGTCTCTACATCAGTCAACTTCCACACACCACCTACAGCCCCCACTCCTGCACCTGGGAGTGTTTCTGAGTCTGGGACTAACCGTGGGGAGAGAATCTTTTCAACTAGAGCATAGTTTTAAAGTGCACCCACAGTCTTGCTACCTTTCTCCGGCTTAGTATTATTATTGTTGTTGTTTTGTTGTTGTTATGATACTGCTGCTGCTGCTGCTATTACTACTATGACTATGATTTTGCACCTGCTAGCACCAGTCAAGGGAGTTAAGTGGGACCTAGCTGGAGACACCCCAGCCTCATCCTAGCCTAGCTTCTGGATGGTGTCTTCTCTCCAGCTCAGGTCTGGCTTTGAAAGCAGGATGGGATCGCAAATGAAGCTGGTGTGTGACTGGAGGATAGTGTCTTGCCCTCTCTGGGCTTCATGGTGCAGCTCGAGGTCAGCTTTAGGGCCAGTGTTTCCCGGGAGCCTTAGTGTCATCTCCTGGGTTCCTGAGCTTCTGGTCCCACCATACCTTCCCTAGGACAGGGTGAATGCAGCCCTTCCCCGTGGCCCCTTTGCCCTTCTGTTATGGGAACCCTTAAGCCTCCTTCCAACTTGAGGAAATCCAAACTTTCCTACCCCAGAAAGACACTGGCCGGGTTGAATTGGGTGGGTCACACTGATAACAGTATTAAGGCACAACTTGAGGGGTACACCGCACATCCACGGCTTGAAAGGGGGGAGAACAAAAGGTTGGAGAGGGTCAAGTGGTCCAGCGCCCCAGGATCCAGGCTGGTCCTTTGACCACCTTCCTGGTGGGGGCTTGTTCTAGGAGGGAGAAAGGGGTGGGGGTGGGCACAGGGTGCCAGAGACACACTATGTCTTCTCCCTCTATTTTGGGGGGACAGAAAGCAAGGGACTCAAACCGGGGCTTGTCTTTCAGGAACAGGGCAACGAGAAGACCAACAACGGCACTCACTACAAGTTACAGCTTCTCTACAGCAACGGTGAGCGCGCGCGCGGGCGGCCTCTGCGCCGCGGCCTCCTCCTGCGGGGACGCTGTTGACCTTGGCGCCCGACCGTCAGGGGAGGGGAAGGGGCGCCTTCGGGGGCTCGGTCAGGGCCACTGGGACGGTTGGGTGGTCTTTTGCCGCTGGATTCCTCAGTCTGGGCTTCAGTGCGTGAGCAGAGACGGGCTTGGTGTGGGGTTGCGGGTTCCCGACCCTTGACTTTTATACCCCTTTGGCAGGCGTCCGCACCGAGCAAGACTTGTACGTCAGGCTCATCGACTCAGTCACCAAGCAGGTGAGCGCCTGGGCTCCCCTCCCTTCGGGGCCCTCTGACCGCCCCTAATCTTCCAGCGCCGGCCAGGATCTCCTGGCTTAGCCGTCAAACGATCCCGTTTGAACCCGCACAGTGTTTCTCTAGAAACGCTGACATACGTGTCCTCTCCCTCATGTATCCTGTTTGCTCCTGGCCTGTACTGGGTAGCTAGCAAGGGAATGAAGCGAGGAAACGTTTCTCCAGCAATTCAGTCTTCTCCACCGACCCCATTTCCCTTTTGTAAGAATTGTGTCTCCACCGGGGCAAACTTTTTTTTTTAACTTCACTGGCCAGAACTCCGGAGGAAGTAGTGGGTAGAGAGAGGGAAAACAATTTCTCATTTTTTTTCTTTTTTGCAAACTCCCTTTAAAGTCCGTTTTTTCTTTATTTCTCCTCTTTCTCCCCATCTGCTTCGCGCGCAGCCCATAGCGTACGAGGGACAGAACAAGAATCCAGAGATGTGCCGAGTTCTCCTAACGCACGAAGTGATGTGCAGGTAAGCGAGCAGGCAGGTGAGCTGCGCGCGCCTCTGGCTTAGCTTTGGGGAGGGTCGGCGCCCGGCGGGGTGCGTCCAAGCAAGGTTCCCGGAGCCAGTGGGCAGAGACACAGGTTGGAAACTCAGAGTCACTCACGATGGTCCCTCCGGGGGGAGTTTCCTCCACTAGGGGGTACACAGCCGGCCCGGCTGCAAGGACACGGTCAGGCAGCAGGGGGCCGGCGTTGGGCTTGGGCATTCCCTGAACTCTTGCCCACGTCCTGTTGCTGGACAGCGCGGGCGACATTTCCGAAGAGGCCACCCGCGGAGTCAAAACCCTGGGATGAGCCACAGCCTCTGGGTGAGGACCCAGTTGAGGGCACATTTGGGGAGGGGGGTCTGACCCCTGATTTGGGTGGGTCCCAAGGCACCTGTCTGTAGTTCAGGAATGGTGGCTGCCTCCAGGATGTGTCCCTACCTCTGACTTCACGTGTCCCGGAGTGTCTCAGGTAGAAAGATCAGTCTAGCTCCTCGCTGGTGGATGTTAAGAGCCGGAGAGTAGCCCCTGGGGCGAATGGGGGCGCAGCAGAAGCTGAATGAGTGAGCTAAGTAGTGCAGCAGTGAGCCAGTGGCATAGTGGACTAAAATTCCTGTATATCTCTCACATGTGTCTTGTTTTTGAGTTCTTTCTTCGGCTTGACCAGAGAAAACTGAAAAAAAAATCACTACAAGAAAATGATTTTTTTTTTATTGGAATGATACACTTGCTTATTCTTTCAGGAGATATTTGAGGGCCAGTATGTATTGAGGATTGTACTGGGACTGGGGTTTTCACAGAATATAGGAAGTATTAAAAGGGAAGCTCTGGGTTATTTTACAATAGAATTCAAAGGGTTTTCCCCCCACAGTTTCCCCCCCCGCCCCTCCCCCCACACATCACTCATTCACACTCCTTTTTCTTCCTCTAAAATCTGATTGGAGCAAAGTCGCAGGGGTTCCTCACCCCAATGTTGCTTCAGTCAATGCCTTCCAACTCCGCACTTGTTTGGGGGGGAAATTGTAGGCAGTCAGATTTAGTTTGGACTGTTTTACAGGCAGCTCCCGGAGCCAAGCCTCCCTCCCCCAAACCAGGCAGCAAGAAACCATAACAATCAGGCATGTTTGTTTGGGTTTTGACCAAGTATTAGAAAAACAAACTTTGCCAAATGCAAAGTTCAACTCTGCCAGTGGTTTCAGCTGAGGGGGACTCTGGGCTTCTTTGCAGAAGTTGTTGGTTGAGGCTTTGTGCGATAGAGCATGCAGCTACTTCATTATCCCAGGGGCCCTTGATGATCGTTCTCCACAAATTCTGAGATGAATGCATGTAATACCTAGATGAATTTGCACGCAATAGCTAGATGAAATAGAACACTTAGATTTGGCTGGATAAGCAAAGGGTGATTTTTTTTTCAGTTTTCTTTTTACTTTTAAATGTCTTTGTTTGGAGAGATTATTTTCATAACAGGGAAACAAACAAACAAAACACAAACTGGTCCACTGTCTAACAAATTATACCCAGCATTTTAAAATAGTATTACTAGCTCCCATCCAGCTGTAGTTAAGGCTGACATTTTTATTTTTAAGCCCAATCAAATCCTCCTAATTTTATGCTGTTTAAGTAGTGGCATCAATTTTTAAAGCCTCTAGTTTAGTCTGCATTAGTAACACAATATAAAAATTTAATGTACTGTAACTTCTCTGCATTTGAGAACTGGGAAGATACTCTGCTATTTTTTCTTCCTAAACTAGAATTTAAAACAAATATTAATTATGGGCAAATAAATGATCTATTGAATGGCTACTGTGTCTGGAGAGAGAGAGAGAGAGAGAGAGAGAGAGAGAGAGAGAGAGAGAGAGAGAGAGTATAGTAAATGTGTGTGGCATGTGTGTGTGTGTGTGTGTGTATGTGTGTGTGCGCGTGCGCGTGTGTTTGAGGGAGACATGCTGGGGTGATGGCAAATATTGGCTGTCCCTAAAAGGGAAGTTCTCATTCAATCTGTCCATCAGAGCCGCTTGATTCTTCAAGTAAGGGGGGGAGGAGTCCCCTTTTCCCACATTATCTGAGCCAGTTAGAGCAGTCACTGATCCAGAGATGTATCAGATGCTCCACTTCTGGTTATTGCACGAATAGTACTTAGTTTCATTTCCATGGTATTCTTAGGCATATCTGAGAATTTCTCTGAATGGTTTTATGTTTGTCCTGTGAGCTTGAGGAAAAAAAAACACAAACAAAACAAACTCCTAAATTGGCGTTGAGCTTGGAGAGAGAAACAAAACAAACCTCTTTAGGAACAACTTTCTCTGCCTTCCCCAATTGTCTTTGCTTCCGTCTCCCCTTCTTTAGTTCATTTTGCCAATTATTAGCAAGGAGAAACCTAGTTGTTATGTGGCTGCCAGCCACCCCTGTGCCCTCAATGCTCAGAGGGTTAAAAGATATTATAATTTGAACAGAAGTCGTCTCAAGGCCTACAGCTGGCTAATAACAGAGTTGTATTGAGCGCGAGCAAACCCCACAGCTGTGACTTTTCGCCACAAGGCGCAGGCTAGACAGGGCCCTAATCAGATGGGCCAGCCGGGCAGTGGGGCCAGTGTCTTTATCGGCCAGATGGTGTGAATTTAGACACTTTTGTTATGCAATCGCAGGGAGGAGTTGGGGAGAAGAAAACAAAACAAAAGCCACCATGCTGTGCGCTTATTTGAGTTTGAAATTAGAGACAGATTTTTGAAAGTTGAGGGTTGAATTTTAAAAACGATTTTGGAGGGGAAAGGGCACATTCGCTTCTCTTGAGCAGGAGTTTAGCTGACTGGGCACCTTGTGGCGGGGCTCCCCCGCCCTCCTCGACTTCTTCTCTAGCCACCTTCCCAACACCTTTCCTTTTTCTCTTTCTAAAAGCACAGGTGAGGTTCAGGGTTGGGCTGGATTTCTTTTATCTCCTCTCTCCCTTTTCCAACTTCTTTCTTTCTTTCTTTCTTTCTTTCTTTCTTTCTTTCTTTCTTTCTTTCTTTCTTCCCTTCTTCCTTTCTTTCTTTCTTTCTTTCTTTCTTTCTTTCTTTCTTTCTCTTCTCTCTCTCTTTCTCTTCTCTCTTTCTCTTTCTTTCTTCTTTCTTTCTCTTCTCTCTTTCTTTCTTTCTTTCTTTCTTTCTTTCTTTCTTTCTTTCTTTCTTTCTTTCTTTCTTTCTCCTTTCTTTCTCTCTCCTTCCTTCCTTCCTTCCTTCCTTCCTTCCTTCCTTCCTTCCTTCCTTCCTTCCTTCCTTCCTTCCTTCCTCCGTCCCTCCCTCCCTCCCTCTTCTTCTTCAAAGACTGTGTGTGGGGATAGGGAGTACAAAAGAAGCCCATAAATAAATTGAGTGCATTTCAGGTAAAAGATTCTCCAAAGAAGTATGAGAATAAAACAATCCAAACCTAGCCAACAGGAGCAGAGGAAGAGATTTCATTTTTATTCATTAGTAAAAAGGGCACTTCTGAGCTTCTCCGTGGGAGTTAAGAATATAGTTGTAACCTGTGCCAAATTCAGTTCCTTTCTCTTTGTTCACTTTCTGCCCTTCTTTTCCGATTTTGGAGTCATGATCAGTTTTATAAAACACTGATCAGGAACTTCAGACTTAGAAACTTGCTTCTTGAAAAAATAACCCTAAAATGCTTTTTATCTGAAGTGGTTGAACTTGAAGTTGGTTATTAAGTTTGATATCTGGGTAATTCAGGGGCCCATTCCTTTGCATTATTCAGGCATATATCTGACTCACAGAAATTGTTTGAGGTGGTGGAATCATGAATGTCTCACATTTTCCTCTTCACTTTTCTTATGTCCATGTAATGGGTATAATCAAACCCATATTTTTTTTTCAAACCCATATTTTAAAAGTCAAATAAAGAATAATTAGACATCTTAATGAGATCTTTTTGGTCCTTTCTTAAAGAAAGAGTGGCCAAAAAAAAAAAAGGAAGAAAAAAGAAAACCGAGAAGAAGAAGAAAGTGCTTAGGCTAATGTAGAAATTCGGATAATTTTTTGGGGGGGGGTCACATGTGGCTATGCTTAGGGGTTACTCCTGGCTCTGCACTCAGGCATTACTCCTGGTAGTTCTCAGGGAACCTTATTGGATGTTGGGGATCAAACCTGAGTCAGGCATGTGTAAGGCAAACATCCTACCTACTGTACTATTGCTCTGGCCCTGAGATTCAGGTAAATTTTAAGAAGAGCTTAAAAGTGCAGCACATTCAGCCAAGTCCTGTTATTTTTATATCTTTACTAGTATAGTTCAATAGACAAGTGAGAGTCTTTTCTGTCTTCTGTTTTGACTGTTAAGTAAGAGATCCCCCTTCAGTATGTTAATATTGAAAGATAGAAGGTGGACTTTAAAGTTTTGTGACATTTAATTTTGAATATTATTTTCTTTCTTAAGTTGATTCCTCACATTGTATTGCACAGGCAACAGGCTTGAATTTATTTTTTGTTTGCTTGTTTAATCTGTTTTTCTTTTCCTCAAGGGAAAATCCTCATGGAAAAAAGTTGAATTTAGCTAAGCAATTTTTGCAAACTTACTCAGTCCTAAGAATCAGTTTTATTCAAACTAAACAGATTGGCAGATTCTGACGGTGTGTCTTCTTGTAATTAAATTGTGTTTTCACCACACATATTTGGGGTTAGGTTGTCATGCTGATGATGTCAGGGAAAGTCTAGTTTGAAGGTGTTTAGGTAACTAGCAAGTATGGAACTTTTGAAACTGTATGATAAATTGCAATGATATTCTACTGTCATACGCAATAAATAGCAGAGATGGAAATATGGGTGTATTGAGTTGGGATGAGAGAGAAGAGTTCTGGGAGTGGGAGAGCAACTAGCCAGCCTTTTTATTTGTATTACTCTTGGGCTAAATAAAAAAATTTAAAAGTTAAGACCTAATAACATTTCAAGGGCAAAACATATTTTTAAAAAGTTTCACTGGCAAACTTGGGTTCAAGAACGTCAAGACATTGATTTTCTGACTAATTTGGTGACATTCCTTGAAAATCTCATTGTGCTCTTTTGGTGAGCACTTTTTTCTTGACATATTTCTCAAGTATATTTTACTTTTTGAGAGCAGTAGAATTGTCTACTGAACAATTTACACAACCAGGCATGAGATATGAGCTTACAAAATTTAAGAATGTTATTTGGGGCCAGAGTAATGGGAAGAGGGAGCTTGCCTTGCATGTGGCTAATCCAGGTTCCATACCTGGGATCCCCCAAGCCATGATTCATCAAGATTATTCCTGAGCATCACTCTGTGTGGCCCAAAAACCAAAAGCTTTTTGTTTTGAATTTCTTTTTCCTCCCTCCCTCCCTCCATTCTGTCCCTCCCTCCCTTCCTCCCTCCCTCCCTGAGACCCTCCCTCCCTCCCTCCCTCCCTCCCTCCCTCCCTCTCTCCCTCCCTTTTCTCTCTTTCTTTCTTTCTTTCTTTCTTTCTTTCTTTCTTTCTTTCTTTCTTTCTTTCTCTCTCTCTCTCTCTCTCTCTCTCTCTCTCTCTCTTTCTTTCTTTCTTTCTTTCTTTCTTCCTTTCCCTCTCTCCCTCCCTCTCTCTCTCCCTCCCCTTTCTCTCTCTCTCTCTCTTTCTTTCTTTCTTTCTTTCTTTCTTTCTTTTTTTCTTTCTTTCTTTTTCTTTCTTTCCTTCTGTTCTTGAGCCACATCAGGCTATGCTCAGGGCTTACTCCTGCTCTGTGCTCAGGGATCACTCTTAGCAAGCTCAGAGAAGATATGTAGTGTCAGAATTTGAACGTGGGTCATCTGTGAACAAGACAAGAATCTTGCCCACTATTCTATCTTTTTGGTCACTTTCCTTTGACATTCTATGGAATATCAGGGAAGTAAATGACCTGCAAAGAGTTACAGAGCAAATACAGACCTGTGTTGGTGTCAGGAGTCACTGTGGCCATGTGATTTCTTCTTTTGTTTACCCAGTCATCTTCTTCAAAGGGAATCTCTTGTGTAGACTTTTGAATATTTTGTTATGTTTTGGGGCCATACCCAGGAATGTTTGGACTTACTTCTGGCTCTGCAATCAGGGATCACTCCTGGCAGCACTCGGGGGACTGTACCTGGTATTGAACTAGCAGCAGGTGTTTGCAAGTCAAGCCCCTTAATCTCTGTACTGTCTCTCTGGAACACCTCATGAACTTTTCATAACCTAGAAAGAACTTTGGAGATAATCCAGGTTATAATCATACCACACTGAACCTACTTGATTTGTCCAGAGATAATCTAGATCAGAATTTATTTTTTATATACAAGGGAGGCAAAGCCCCAGTGGGTTAGAGAGATTTGGCTAATTTCATGCAGCTGGCTAGTGACCGTCAGCTAGATGTAGATGTAATTTAAAAATTTAAAATTTTTTTGGGGGGGAAAGAGAGATAGTAATGGGGATAGGGGACTTGTTAGAATAGAACACCAGTTATCATTTTAGCAATCTTTTTATCTTGCTATAACCAGTCTTAAGCTGGAAAGAAAATAATATGGGAAGGGCAGTTACATAGATTTGGGTTACTGCTAACACTAACATTTATGATATACATTCTTCAACTGGTAGATGATAATTTGCTTTCTGTAAGTCATAAGGCTTCACTCTTCACTGAGTTTGTATACTTGAAATGAGTCAGAAATCTGTGGCCTTGACAGTAATAAACAATATGGGAAGTGACAACCACTATCTCCAAGCTCCTTTTTTTTTTTTCATTTTTTTTCCCTTTATTTTATTTTTTTTTTACAGTTGTAGATTTACAATTTTTTGTGCTTGGGTTTCAATTATACAATGATCAGATACCCATCCCTCCACCAGTGCCCATTTTTCACCAACATGGATAATATCCCTCCCACCCCCATCCCCCCATCCCCCCCTGTCTCTGTGGCAGGGCAATCCCCTGTGTTCTCTCACTCCTTTTGGGTGTTGTGGTCTGCAAAAGAGGCATTGAGTGGCAAACATGTTCAGTCCATAGTCTACTTTCGACATACATCTCCCCTCCTGGGAGGATCCTCCAAATATCCTTTATTTGGTGCTCCCTTCTCTATCTGAACTGCCCTTTCCTCTAGGATACCCGTCCAAGTTCCTTTTTGCCTTTTCCACAGTGTCTAGAATCTTTCATTAAGTTTGATTAGAGTGATTAACTTTTCCATTCATGTATTTTTATTTCTTGTGGTCTACTTTTAGGGATGCACATTTTCCCAGTTAATCGAGATATAATTATATGCATTATTGTGGAGGTTTAAAGCATATATCATAATGTTTTATATTGTAAAATAATTACCACCAGTGGTCTAGCTAGTAACCATTACCTCAAGATACAATTAACAATGTTTATCCACTTTTACATATATATATAATCATGCTCGGAGAGCCCGGCAAGCTACCGAGAGTATTGGATATGCCAGACACAGTAACAACAAAGTCTCCAATGGAGAAGTTACTGGGCCCGCTCGAGCAAAATCGACGATCAACGGGAGGGCCATGCAGCAGTATTAACTATAATTATCATATTGTACCTTACATCTCCAGTACTTATTTATCTTGTACCTGTAAGTTTGTTGCTTTCCACCACCACTATATTATAATTTTTACTCTACTATAGGTCCATTTGAGTTCAATCGCTCTATTGTTATAAATATTTGTCCAGCATCAGTTGGATAATGGCTCTTCCCTGGATGGAAGTCTTAGAAAGCAGAGTTTTTAAGGTTGGGATTACATGCTAAGTCTCATTTCTGCTCCAGATATTTCTTTAGAGATACCATTTTGGAGATATTATTTTATAGCTTCTCATTTTATTCCTATTACACAATATACAAGTCTCACAATGGAGACGTTACTGGTGCCCACTCAAGCAAATCGATGAACAACGGAGGACAGTGCTACAGTGCTACACATTGTACATCATAGTTCTGTTCTTCCTCCTTTGTATTTATTTATTTGATTGCTCTATAGCATTTTTATTTTTTATTTTTTTTTTTGGTTTGGGTTTTGTGGCCACCCTGGCAGTGCTGATGGGGCCAATTCTGGTACTGTGCTGGGGGACTATGTGGTTTCAGGGATCAAACCGAGGTTGGCCACATGCAAGGCAAGCATCTTAATTCTTTTACTCTAGCAAATATCGATGAACAATGGGAGGACAATGCAGTGCTTTTTTCTTTTTCTTTTCTTTTTTTTTAAAATTGAATCATCATGAGACACATAGTTACAAAGTTGTTCATGACTGGGTTTCAGTCATACAGTGTTCTAACATCTGTCCCTTCACCATGGTATATTTCTGACTACCAAATGTCCCCGTGGGCTGGAGCAATAGCACAGTGGGTAGGGCATTTGCCTTGCATGTGGTCGATCCGGGTTTGATTCCTCTGTCTCTCTCAGAGAGCCCGGCAAGCTACTGAGAGTATCCTGCCTGCATGGCAGAGCCTGGCAAGCTCCCTGGGGCATATTAGTTATACCTGAAACAGTAACAATAAGTCTTACAAGGGAGATGTTCCTGGTGCCCGCTCAAGCAAAGGGAGGACAGTGCTACAATGCAGTGCTACCAATGTCCCCAGTCACCCCTCCAACCCCCCCTTCATCTTAATTCTTGTACCATCCCTCTGACTACTCTCCTTCATCCTTAGAATATTATGAAAATAAATTAATGAAAAAATGTTTATGAAGTGCATCAAATTCAGTGACAAATGATGTTATATAAATAATGTTTATAACCTAAGCTTTTTCTTTTGAGTTATTTGGGGATTTATTTTATATATTTTTCCTTCCCCCTATTTCTTCAAATATTTATGGAGGTGCAATGACTCAAAATACACAATCATAGAATTTTTCAAGCTGGAGCTGTTCTTATAGATCTTAAAATTCAGCCATCCATGGTTCACATTACAAAAAAGATAGCTGAGGCAGTTTTGAAATGTTGGGAGTCCCAATTCATAAGTTAGAGAGTAAGAATTCTATTGTTTCTTGTTGAACTTCAGGTTCATAATTGTTTTTGATCATGACCACACATTATGATTTTAATCAACTAATAATTAAGAGACTACCTTAAAGAATATTCATTTTTATGATTGTTCTTACATTGCATGCTCAATGTATAACCTTGAATTTTAACAATTGTCTTTTACTCTTTTGGTTTCTTCTCAATCTCCAGTCGGTGTTGTGAAAAGAAAAGTTGTGGAAACCGAAATGAGACTCCTTCAGATCCTGTCATCATCGACAGGTAGGGGGAAAAGTGGTTATGAAAAAAATCATTTCAGCTATCTTTTTCTTTATGAATCTTAACCTTGAGGATGGATCACCTGGACTTTGCCATATGGGAGATTTTTGTGATATGTCAGGTTGGGAAGCCAGTCTTGCGTGTGTTTCCTTGTCCTGGTTGGCTTTCTTGGTAGAAGTTGGGATCAGCCTTTTGGAGAATGTGTCTTTAAATTGATGCTGGGGTTCTCTTCTAGGTGCATTGACTTCCAGCCTTGTCAGGACTGTATGGATGGTGAAAAGCACCATCATCCCCTGTGTGGCAGACTAGGGGATCAGTCAGTTCCTAAAAAAAGCAGCAGCAACAACCCCTCTGTCATTCTCAGTGATTGATGATTGATTGAAGACTTTCAATTTAGGGGATGATTTGTGGATTGTGACAAGCTTTCTATTTCGCTGAGGGAGATTCCTTTCTACCACAGAACATTGCATTCTGGGTTGTCTGTTATATTCTGAGTGGGAGAGATTCTTTGGGACAATATGCTAATTCATTGAAATGTGATTTAGCATCCTCAGCTGTCTGTTTTTGTGATTGGAAACAGAACTTACAAACCAACGAAGAAATACCAAATTAACTTCCAGCAATCATGTAATTTTTAAGAAATCCCATATTCCCACCCCTAATTTTTTCTCTTTCGTTAAAAAACGGAATAATTCCCCATTGCTTCTTTCTTTGGGTTTTCATGTTTCTAGCCAGGTCCTGAAATGGAATGGAGAGACCACAGTCTCCAAAGTTGTTATTCCAATATTCCAGCGAATTCTCAGTTGGGAGAATAGAACCTCTGGCATTCTTCCCAGAAAGTCAGCTTGGTTTTTTCATGGAAAGTATAGAATAGTCCAGGAAAGAGAAGGCTGGAGTTCTGATCCTGTCCTAGCTTCTGACCTTGGACAAAGCCATCTCTAATCTTCAATGTACACCGGTGGGTTGGAGGACACTTACTGCTGCAGTAGGTTTCAGGAAGCTACTGAAATATCTATGGCAGCGCTGTAGTGTTCCTTGAGATCATTGAAAGATGAGGACCAAATATAAAATATTTGTTGAATGGGTATGGTGTCTTTGTCATCTTAGGATGTTTAGGCGAGACAAATTTTAACAAGTTGTTTGAAAGTTGAAATTATTCTCTCCCTGAAAATGCACAGACAATGAAAATGAAAAAGTTGCAAGAACTCTCTGGGGTTAGCTGTTTTCCTGAACCCGGGGATGGTGATATAACTTGCCCACAGTTTCAAGCTTATTGGAGCAAGTGGTACTAGAATACAGTTGTTTTGCTTCTAGGCCTGTGTTCCTCTCATTGCTTGACCTTCCTCCTGTACTCTCTATTCTAATATATATAAGTTGATTGTGCTAATTGTGTGTTATATTATTTCCCTACTTCCCAGAATGCCCTTAGGATTCTCTATGGGAGGGAACTTTGAAGCATATGAGAGAAATCTAAATACAGATCCAGTCCTTTCCTGTATGTCAAGACTGAGCTCAGGTGGGAGAGATAGTACAGTGGTTAGGGTGCTTGCTTTGCACACGGCCAATTCAGCATTTCATACGACTCTGTGTACCGCTAGGAGTAATTCCTGAGTGCAGAGTCAGAAGTAAGCCCTGAGCATAATCAGGTGTGGCCCCAAAACCAAACCAAACCAAACCAAACCAAGACAAAAAAAAAAACCCTCAAGCAAATAAACAAACAAGCAAACAAACAAACAAAAAGGGACTGAACTCAATCTTCATCTAGTCTTTATTTATTTTTTTAACCAGTTTCAGCTCCCCTTTCAATAATGTTCTTTAATTTTATAAGTTTTGCATCTTTTTTTTTTTTTGCCTTTTGGTCACATCCGGTGATGTTCAGGGGTTATCCTGGCTCTGCACTCAAGGATCACTTCTGATGGTGCTCAGGGGACCCTGTAGGATGCCAGGGATCGAACCCAGGTTGGCTGCATGCAAGCCACACATCCTCCCTGCTGGACTATTGCTCTTGCCCCAATTGTTATAGCTTTTCTTATAATAAATAACCCCTTAACCAGCTCTGGGAATACTTGCAAACCTGTAAATGCTAACCTGTACTTTACATTCTAATGACTCTGAACTTAGCAGTTCTTACATATAATACACACTCAAGGATATAACCTAACTTGCGTATGTCTTTTCCCTATGCAATATACATTCTTCATGTACAAAAGAAAGTAGTGTTTTCACCTCTATGGAGAAAAATATTTTTCTATTAGGTTTGCACTAGAATGCCCTCATTTTTTTGAGTAGGTAGAAATTACATCTCAGCTGCAAATAACAAGAGTTTTGTGTGACTGTGGCATTTATTTTTATTATCCTGTGCACAATAAAATAGTCCTTCAATGTCTCTGAATCACTTGAAATATATGTCATTTCCAAAATATTGTATGTCTACACATGGAAACATGCATACCAAAGGACACTGTAAATCGACTAATATCAGGTTTTAAGAGAATCCATTATTATAAATAGATGCATTAGTTCAACTTATTCACTATAGGACTTTGAGTGGAAGATATTGTCCCTGCACCAAAATCTTGTCTTATTACTCCTCACTGTCTTGTGGGCTTACCTTTGCTTCATTTGTGTATGCAAAAGGAGGGACAGGTGGCTTGTGTTGTCCAGAGGTCTGATTCCTAGGTTTGGTCTCTGCTGACCTGGTGATGTTGAGATCTCCTCATGAGCACCAAATGGGTACAAAGTAGTCCAATTTGGATTTCCTTTGAGTAAATATAGAACTCTTTTCTTTGCTCTTATTCTTCTAATGCCAACTCCTCCCCCTTCTCGCTTCATGTAACCAGATGCAGTTAATTTACACGGTCTCTCTTTGAGTTTTCTCACACACCAGACACATTCTATGTTGGCTCTAGGGAAGTCTGTTTATTCCCTTGGAACTGTGCATGTTTGAAGAAAAGAAAGGGAAAACTGAAGGGTAGCTGCCCAACTTTTCATCATCATCGACCTCTTTTATTTTGTCCTTGTGAATGCAGGGTTTGACAATATTTTTCCTGCCAAGCTGCAATGAATAAGTAATAATTCAGCTGTAATTCCCTTTTTATTAATTAAAGACATATGACAGAATGAGAAGGAAACATCTCATCCCAGAAATGCCCTTGATCTCATCAGCAGCCAATCAACGTTTTTGATCCGGATGAGACAACCAATGTTACCACACCAACTTAATAAACTTCTAGCTCAACATGCAGCAACTTGACTTTTCATTTTGCCCATGTGACCACATCCTGGGCAGACATTCAGTTTCCAGTAGGCTGCTTGAACTATGAAAAATAGCTTTACTACATGTGGCTCCTTAATTGAAAACCATTGGATTTTACTGTAGTGTATACCCCATTGGGGACTTCATTCTCCATTTCCTAAGACTCAGCCCCCAACTGGGACATTTTTCCCTGCTAATTACTCTCTGCCTTGATCTTTATAGAAATGTAAATTTATTTTTTATTTTCATTTACTTTTGGAATTCTTGGACAGCCATACCTCTCAACAAAAAGGTGGGGGTAATTCATAGCCCAGTCGGGTGCTGCTCTCTAGGGCCTCCAGTTTTCCTTCAGAATATGGACATGCGCATGGAGCAGGAATAGGAGTATTAGTTTTTAGTGTATGAATAATGAGTCCCATCGAGACAGAGTTTGACAAGCTAGATTGCATGCTTTGTATGAGAGAAGTCCAGCTTCTATCCCTATCCCTGGTACCACATTTTCCCCTGTGCACAGAATAGGGAGTTAGCCCCTCAGTAGCACTGGATGTGGTTCCAAACAAACAAACAAAAAGAAGAAACTCAAAAAGTCCAGAGAGATAATACCAGAAATGTTTTGCATTGCATGTGACTGAACCTTGGTTCTATCCTGGTACCACATATGGTCCCCTGAGTATCTCCATGAATGGCTTCTGAGTACAGAGCCAGAAACCCTTAGGGTAGCAGGGTAAAGTCCCCAAACCAAAAGCCTAACTAAAACACCAACTTCCCTCCTGCCATAAAACAAAGTTCCTATCTAGAAAACAAAGGTCATTCCACCTCCCATCCTTCATCAGCACAAGCAAAAAACAACAATGAACACTGGCTTTCAGTATCAATCTTGTCTATAAAGTCTTGCATGTGAAAACTTTTAAAAGGCTCAAAGTTCTTCACAGTACTACTTCAGACAGAAGCTCCAATTCAACCCTGTTTTTAGGGTCTCTGTTCTCTTCAGTCTCTATTCTTCATCTAGAAGCTTCTTCTGAATATTACTGAATTTCTGGAGTTCTCCTGAGGTGGGAGAAAACAAGAACTCAAAAGAGTGATTCCTGTTTCTGTTCTTGTGGTTCTGTACAAAATAACGTGGGAGGGGAGGGCACAAATTCTTTGTAGTTGTTTCTGCCCATGTGCACACCTGTACGGTATTTTCTCTGAAGGAGCTGGTAAGACCTATTTTTTTTTTCACAGACTTTAGATCTTAATCTTTTGTCTTGGGACCTTGGTCTTTAAATTTTTTTTTTAAATTTTATTCTAATAACATTTTGTTTTATTATTAAAAGGTAAAGGTAAAGGCCCTCCCGTTGATCGTCGATTTGCTCGAGCGGGCCCAGTAACTTCTCCATTGGAGACTTTGTTGTTACTGTGTCTGGCATATCGAATACTCTCGGTAGCTTGCCGGGCTCTCCGAGAGGGGCGGAGGAATCGAACGCGGGTCGGCCATGTTGGCTGCGTGCAAGGCAAACGCCCTACCGCTGTGCTATAAAATAATAATAATTATGGAGCGATAGCACAGCAGTAGGGCGTTTGCCTTACAAGTGGCCGAGTTCGATTCCTCCGCCCCTCTCGGAGAGCCCGGCAAGCTACCGAGAGTATCTCGCCTGCACGGCAAAGCCTGGCAAGCTACCCGTGACGTATTCGATATGCCAAACACAGTAACAACAAGTTACTGGGCCCGCTGGAGCAAATCAATGAACAACGGGAGGACTGTGAT